TGAAAAGGAATAGTGCAATCAAAGAGATGGCCAACAACATCACAAATGTCGCACCCTATCTGGTGATCTCATTACCTACTGGTTTAGGGTAGTCAGAAAGTTGTCACTCCACCCACATAAGCAGACCTCAGATGACACTGGATCTAGCTCCTTTCTCCAGTAAACTTAGCACTGGTTTCAAAGCCAGGGGAAGTAGAGCTTATCACAGAAGACCTAGAAAATGCTATGAACATTACTTGGTGCTCAGGCTGACTATGTTCCATCCAGCCTGAGAGAAGGGTTTATAAATGACTTCTTCAATCAAAAACATCTGGACAGGCTAGGGAAATGACAGTCAGTGAAGTGCCTGCCGTGCAAGCAAGAAGACCTGAGTTCAAATACCCAGCACCCACATTAAAAAATCCAGGCATGGAAGCTCATGTGTGTAATCCCAATAACAATAGGGAGGCAGACAGAAGATCCGTGAATCTCAGTAGACAGCCAGTCTATCTGAATCAATGAGCTCCAGGTCCAGCGAGAAACCCTGTCTCAAAAGTAAGGCGGAGAGTGATTGAAGAAGACTCTTGACATTGACCTCTGGATTCCCCACACATGCAGGCACACACTACATACACACATCATCATCATCATCATCATCATCATCATCATCATCTGGAGTTTCAAGTAATCACAATAACATTGTCAATGAATTGGAGTAAAAGCAATGAAAATTATGCTGCTTAATTTTGAAAGAACCTTAGAAGTTTGTGGCCAACTTGGGCACAGCTCACTGCCCATGTGGCCAGGAGCCCTTATAAGAACCTATCTGTGTGTTCACCCTAAGGTCATTGCTGTGAGGGCATTAACAAACTGTGAAGTTGGCCAGCCTTGGTCTAATCCTCCCTCCATGGCTCACTGCTGTGTCAACTTGGGCAAGTCACTTCCTCATCCAAATAATGTGCATAATAATAGTATTCACCTCCAGTTGTTAATAGGAGAAGCAAATGAGCTCAAGTGCAAAGAAGTTTGAACTTGGTGTACAGCGGGCAAACAAAAGTGGTAATAACTGCTGCTCTTAACAAATGTAGCCTCATGATGGAGAAACTTTCCACAAGGAAACAAACTGAAGGAAGAAGTCCATAAGAAGAAAAAAATCCATTCAAATGATTAATATGAATTTTTTTCTGTGTAGATGCATCAATCTCAGTCTGATATAAAATATGCATTTAAAACTCTCATAAAACTTTCCTGGAAAATCAAGGCTTTCTGATACAAAAATTCTCACTATCATTCATTCATTCAGTAGAAACATATTGTATACCTATCAAAGCACTGGGCTAGATACTGTAGAATATAAAACCAAAATCACTATCTCTATGCATAACTCTGAAATTTGATAAAAGAAATGATATATTCACATAAATAACTATATAATATGTAGGAGGCATAAAATGGATGAGAAAAACTAAGACAAAAACAGCCTGAGGATGAAGGGTCAATTAAACCACAATGATGGTCCTACCAGAAAGATTCTGAAGGATAACTGAGATTCAGAAAAGTGGGGCTACCAGGAAGTGGGAGGGTCAAGAACACTAGGAGTGAAATCTGCAGGAAAATGGGCACTATGTCTGCAAGGTCCTGGTGTGTAGAAGACAGAGCAGGCAGGCTGGTGACAGACTCAGAGGTCATTGGTGTGATTAGAAGCGCAAATGCAATTGCACTCTATTCTGTTTCTACCTGAGTTTATCCCTGTAGCTACTGCAATTTTAATGAAGCCATACTAAAGCTAAAGGTATTTGTATAAAACAGTAAATCATGTTATTATTATACCCTTATAAGTAGGAGAAAACAGCAGGATCTAATTTTTCCCATAGCATGCTTTTGGTTCCTTTATTTCTCAGTGGCTTAATTGGCATTATGTTGGGAGCAAGAGCTATATCAATATACTCCACTTACCAATCTTCAGTGACAATCTTGAAGTTCAACCTGGAAATCCCCTCATGTGAAAACATAGTCTATTATAAAAGAAGCTGGTTGGGAAGCATCTAACAGAAAAAGATCTTGACATGTGCAAACAGCTACTTTAGGAATGATTGGGGATGAGCTGAATGGCTGGGCGTATCTGTTTGCGTTGTCAACCTCTCCCTAACTCTTTCATGAAACACCCAACTAACCTTCAATTGCCCTCTTAGAACTTAATCTCAGTGCAATTTGCAACATTCCAAAGTCACCGAGCAGAACCTAAATGCCGCCCTGAAAGGGGGTCTTTTGTTCAGTGTTAGGACAAGAACTCTACCTATAAAGCTATAAATGCCTCAAAGTGAGGGGTAGGATTTTTAAATCACTAACTTTCTTAGGTTATATAAATAATAAATTTTTAGCAAACTGATACATACTCATGGTGGGAAGGCTGTTCTCCAAAATTGCTGGGAAGTTGGAATGCCACAATCCTGGCATGATGAATGATGTGTTAATCACATGATGAAAGAAGCCTTAATCTTCCAGGCAAACATAGCTTCAGGGTTTCTAGAAGGCTCAATTCTATGTAAACCCCTTTCAACAATAAAGATAACATTTATATTTTCTTGGATTTTTTCCCTTGATGTAGATTGATTACATGAACTCTTTTTTTTTTCTCCAACGGTCTCAATATTTCCTTTCTCTAAGTGTTGTCCACAGAAGTGTCACATGAAGGTTCTTGAGATTTGTCCCAGACCTCATTAATGAGGCTTTCTGGAGACAGGGTCCTGTAGTTTGAATGAAAAAGAAAAAAACGACTTTATTGTTATAACACATAAATTACTTGGACTTAGCTTTTCCTTATGTTTTTCTTTTAATGTCCACCTTCACAGAGGACTTCATTCTAAAATGGAATTAGTGTTAGGCTTAACTATTCTCCACAGGTACATGGCCAGATGGACATTGTCACTCAGAGTCAAAACCTTGATCCAATATCGTCACCAAGCTACAAATGACCAAGGATCAATTTCTGGTGAAACTAGTCAGAGGATAACTACAAACTAAAGTTCTTTAATACCCAATTGTAGTGTACTTTTCTTCCTTTTAGAATTTATCACTATTCTTCATTTGGGTTGCCTTTTTCTGTGGGGAAGATAGGAGATTTCCCTCCCAGATGCTGAGTAATAATACTGACTGACTGACTATGAGTGACAAGAAATGATTACATTACTTTCAGAAAAAGAATCTTACAAAATAGTTTCCTTTCTAACAATATAAATTTCATAACTCCCATTTTTAGGCTTTTCTTATTTAAATACAATGAAGGCCAGCTTGGATTAACAATTTATTCTTTAAATACTGCCTCTAAGCTTATATTTAAATCTCTTACAAGTATTATACTACATTGCCTTCAGGTCAACAAGCTATTTTTTTTTTTTGCAAACTTCTCACTGTGTGTTCTAGGAAAGAAATAAAATATAATTTGTATCACACTTAAGAAGGAAACTCTATAATTGAGTTGAAAGAAATATGGGACCTACAGATAGAAGCTATAGGCTTAAGCCTCAGCTTATCAAGATTTGCTTGGAGCCCCAGAAATTCTCAGTGCCTCTGAGTCAGTTTCCTCTTATAATAAAATAGGAATCATAAGTGTTCCTATTGTAAGGGCTAAAACAGGTAACGAAAACTTTGGTTCCTAATGAAGTGTCTCACCCTAACATTGCATTACAAAGCCACAGGTTTATTCACAATCCTAAAACATCTTCTCTTCATTTGTAAGTCTTGTCTTTGGGGAATTTTATTTTCCACCCATCCCTGCAGGATTTAGGAGGTTATTTTTCTTCACATTTGGCTGATCTGCTTATTCTGCAACAGGAGCTATAGTGTTTACATTCAGAGGGCACTGTCTCCACCAAGTGGTTGCTAGGGGATACTGGAAGTCTAACACCATGTGTTACAGATCACAGCATCAGGATAGAAGCAATTAAAACTGCATATGTATCCAAAAATTCTGCCCTTCTGCCTTAGTGACATAAACTGAAGAAGACCACTTCAACCTGATATTCCAACATTACTCTTTCTTTCTGATTTTCCTTAGAGTCCACAACCAATTTTAAAGTCTTTGGTTCTCAAAAATTCCCAATCTCCTGGATTTCACTACTGAAAATCTACAGAGAAAGTGAAGACCTCTAGCCCCACTTGGGGGACATTGAACCGGCCCCCCCATCCTTTACCTACTAAGGCAGTGTTTACTACACGTGTGTGTGTGTGTGTGTGTGTGTGTGTTTTCAGTCCTGCTGGCCTTTTGAACAAATAACGTATCTGTATTTTGATCTTACATGTTAGAAAAGTGAGGCTCAAATTGGTGCATAACTTAGCCAAGGTTGCCCAGTTCATGAACAACAGAAGAGACTCAATACCAGAAAAGAGGAGAGGTGCTTTCCACCGCTTCTCAACACTGCATTCTATCATCTCTGATCTAACTCTCTCTGACACTCTTCTATGAGGTTTAGAATGATATCTTCTGTTGCAAATAGCTGCACTAGACATTAGAATTATCTGGGAAAACATTTAAAATATATAAATAGCTACTGTTCCGCAGATCAATTAAAACAAAAATTTTCAGCAAAGAACCCCCAGCATTTACATGCTTTTAATTTAGCAACTAAATCTGTTGTACTGTAAAGGTTAAGAATCATGGGGCTGGAGAGATAGTTCAGCAGTTAAAAGCATTGGCTGCTCTTGCAGATGACCCGGGTTCAGTTCCCAGCACCCACATGGCCACTAATAATCATCTGTAACTCCAGTTCCAGGGGATCCAACACCCTGTTCTGACTTCTGTGGGCATTGCATGACATGGGTATGCGTACATACATGCAGGCAATATACTCATACACATAAAATAAAAATAATAAATAAAATATTTTTTAAAAAATAAAAAATCACTAACTTAAATAATGTTACCACTACTATAAAATTATATTTCTAACATATAATCTAGGGTATAGCCTTATTATAAAATATCTTGCTAACACATTGTTTTTCTCTTTTTGTAATAACAGGTGGACGAACTCTTTATAGATTCAGGCTTGAACAAGCACTACATCAAGAACCACATACCCAGACTGACGTATGTATATTTGGGTGATGATATAGTCAGAAGCCTAGAAAGACAATGGGTAGAGGATACAGGGTCCCTCATACACCCCATGTCTCTGTGGACTAGGCCCTTGGCTCAGGTTCTACATAAACATAATCTCTATAACTGTCTCACGGGACAGAGTCAAACCACCATTTTGAAATTTGAAAAGCTAGTATGTGGAGGAGGAAGGTCAGTGATGTACTGAATTCTCCCCAAAAGACAGTTACACCAATTGGACAGAACTAGGACTCAAACCCTATCAACTAACTGTGAGACCTGGAATTCACCTCAGTCCACAGCCTTAGCATAATCCGAGTCCAGGTCATTGCATGCACCAAGTCCTACGTTTTCAACAGCTTTGTCATTTCAAAAGCATCAAGAGGGCAAAGTTTGCCAAAAAATTGTATTGTAAGTTTTACCTGTAATTAAGCCCTAATGACAGGCAATATGCCTAAACCAAAAGATTTTCCTGTTGTAATAGATGTTCCTTTTGTTTTCATGGAGAGGGAAGACTCGCTATCAGTACAGAAATTGCTCAGAAGTTTTAACTGTGTTAGTTTCAAAAATTACATGGTAGAATGCATAGGCGCAAACCCAGGAGCTTGTATGACTCATCTCAAAGGGGACAAAGATACTTGACAAAAATGTTGTTATGAAACCCATTGCTTTCTATAACAAATTTATACTACTAAAAATTGGGGGGGGGGAGCAACTAAATTTTAAGGGAATATTTTAGAGGGATTTATTTGAAGGAAGCAGTAATCACTTTTCTTACCAGTAGACCATTGCATCATTGAGATTCATTCAAGTCCTTCACATCTTTTCTGATAACTTGCAACTTTTGTGACAATTGGATAACTTAGGAAACAAAAGGCATAAAATGCTGGAACTTCCTGTTTTCAAATTCTAAGTTTCTGTGGCACTCTAGTAACATTATCATAGTCTTATGAATTCTTCCAGATTTGTAGCCAATTTCACCCATGTAATTCTTCTGTGGGAAGCTAGAGAAATCTACCTGATAAAGTTTTAATTCCTCTTATTTAAGATGATTTGATGTGGAAAAATTCTTGTGTATTTAACATAAAATTCTAATTATTTATAGTTTCCAGTTCTGGAGCCTAAATGTAAGATGATGGATATAATGTCTTGGAATCAATATGATGTTCTAATTTTTAGTGTAAAAAGATTCCAATATATTAGCTTCATATTTTTCAGAGTTTAAGGTATTATTGGGGTATAAAATAGGAAGCATGAAACATCATTATGTATCATTTTCAATTTTTATAAAACATGGTAAATAGCTTGATTTCCCTATTTTAAGTACATCTGAAAATTCACTTCCACATGACAAGACTTGAATCCATTTCTATGAACAAGTTCAAGGAACTAGGCATGTTCAAACTGGATGAGACCCAGAAAGCACACATTGCTGTCTTCAAATATTTTATGTGGAAGAAAGAATTGATGCTTTACATATGTTGTCATTGGAAGCCCTAAGCCTTCTATAATGGAAAATTAAACATTAACATTCTTCATAAAGAATTCTTAAAATAGAGCTGAACAAAGACAAAACAATCTCTAGGAAAGAGGATTTCCCAAGATTTACTGACTGCACTGGAATTGGTGAACAATTTGTCACAAACCCTGTAGAGGTGATCAGTATATCAGGTGTATGATTTATTCCCTAAGAGTACATGAGCTGCTCTTTAATTTTTTAATTTTTAATTTTTTGAGAATTTCTTACATGCGTATATTGCATTTTGATCTTATCAATTCTTCCCTCTCCACCCTGCAACTCCTCCTGTGCCTCTCTCCCACCTCATCCCCCTTTCAAATTGTGTCCTCTTCTATTGCTACTACATGAACATACATAACTATGAACTACTGAGTCCAGTTAGTGTTGACTATCTGTACATAGGTGTAGGGCTGACCAGCCATAAGCAACCTACCAGAAGACTCATTCCTGAAGAAACCCAACTCTCCCCCCACTTAGGCAGCTGTCAGCTACCTGTAGTTCCTCACTTAGAGCTCTTGTGAGCCTTCCCCACACCTAAGTTTTGAGTGCTGCCGTCTTGTGGAGTACTTGCGCAGGCAACCATAGCTGAGAACTCATGGGGACAGCACTCCTGTCATGTCCAGAAGACACCATTTTGCAGCTGTTCTTCTGGTCCTCTGGCTGTTCCAATCTTTCCACTCCCTGTTCCATGGTATTCCCTAAGCCTCAGGTGCAGGAATTGTGTCTCTGGGGATGGACATCTCAGAGTCACTTATTCTCTGCATTTTGACCAGATTAGTTCTCTGAAATAACCCCCATCTGCTGCAAAAAGGAGCATCTTGGATGAGGTGGTGAGAGCTGCATTCATCACGAAAAACTAAGAATGCCCGTTTATTTTACTTTGAGATTTTTTTGGGTTTTACCTAACTACAGTAACATGTCTTCAAATTAATGGGATAAAAATGCACTCAAAATGTTTTTTAAAGCTTTAAGATGGAAGTAAGAAATAGGCATAAACCAGGGAGCAGCATGTGGCAGTGTGGCTATGAGAACATTACCCAGCCCTTGACATTCTCAGCAACCGAGGCAAACAGCAAAGATGACAAGGAAGACTACAATAGACACATTCTTTGAATGCACACCTCTTTTGTGTTTTTTAGGCCAGAAGAAGATGCTGTGAAAGCAGATATCGATATGGTCCTCCAGCTCCCCTCCACTGAGCAAAGGGCTGTGAGAGAGAAGAAAATCCACAGCATCTTAAATTGGAAGATAAGGAATACACGAGCCTTGCCAGCCAACGTGTCCTTGGTTGAAGTCGGTAAGTAGGTTGATTCTTATGTGACCTGAGCTTCTTCATTAGGTTCACATTTTGTATAGTCATAAGCTTATTTGTCCTTCTCATTCCAAGTAACAGTTAAAATTCATATAAAACAGTCTAAAAATGTGACATTTCAAGTTTTTATTATTCTCTGATGAAAGTGTCTGGCATTAGTCAAGTGTTTTTCTGGGAAGTTACTGATTGGCACTCATCTTTAAGTAAAGAAAAACCTTTACCATAAACAGTGGGTTAATCCAACCTAGCCACTGTCTCCATGACTAAGTGAAAAATTAAGCAATAGCTTATTTCTGGGTGGGACCTTATGAAAACACAAACTCATTCATTGCCTTTAAAAAATATAGTTTCTATGCAGGATGATGCTATGATTTTTTTAGCTTTCTTCCTATGAGCACTTGAAAAATAATAAACTATCTTTGGAGTCACTAAAGCCATCAGGTAAATAATGCTTTGAAAAGTACTAGGAATCCTGATATAACTGCAGTAACCAGGGAACTGGAAGGGAACCAGGGAGGTAAAGGGAAAGAAGGAATCCAAGAGAGAAGAATAGAAAGAGACAGGTGTTACTAAGGGAGAACTGTGTAAAATGGGGTAATTAAATGGGAGGGAGAGAAGGAGGACTATACAAAGAACTATGTGAATAAGGGGGAAGAAAGGTCTTAATAGAGGTGGGACAATATCAGACAGAAATTATCGAGGGAGAGATGGGGAAAATGGAGACACTTTAAATGGAGAGGGAGGATTAGACAGAGAGAGAGATATAAATAGTACCTAGCTAGTATAAAAACCAAAGGGAATTGTATTAGTTCAAAACCTACTGAAAATTACACATATAATATCTCTACATGAGTCTCTGAGTATAGCTGAAGACTGCATAATAAGAAACAACACAAGACAGGAGAAACCTTTTTTGAGTTGTTGGCCAGGGTGGTCCAAGAGACTCCCAAAATTACACAGGCTATTTCCACAATTCTGCCACCCAGAACTTGATGGTAAGACCCTTTTGTTGAAGACAGGACATACTTTGGGCACAGGATTTGGAGCAATGGAGCTAGAACTGACCTGGAAGTTACCTCCCCTGAAGGCTAGCTCTCATAGCTTAGGAGAGCATGCAAGCTGCTAAGAGAGAACATCAATCAATGGTTCAACGCCAGCTTCAAGGCCTAAAAAACACATCAATGACCAGTACAGCAAACAATATTGGTACAGTAGTGGTACTTTTATCTTGTGGGTAATCAACAGCTACCTAACTGGACTTAAAGCCCACTCAATGGAAGGAAGCTCATGTCTGGTAGTATAAACCTAGCCAAATACACATAGCTGGAGATGTCATAGACCTTAGAGAAGACTCCAAGACTGTCACGTCCTTAGAAAAATGTAATTTCTTACTATGCAAAATATGGATGCTTAGATTTATAGACAAGTATCCCAGTCACCACTCTTCAAGAAATTTCTTTTTCAACAGGCAGAAATAATTACAGAATTCCACAACTAATCACAAACAGAGATTATCTGTGAATTGCCCCAGACTAAGTGGCACATCAAGGATGCAACCTCTACACCTAAGGCTCACAGAACATAGAACAAGGGATGAAGAGAACACTAATACATCTTTCAAGTCTCATCAGTGAAGCTCCCTCATGCAGCAGAGGGCTAGGTACATAAAAGGTTACATATGGCCAAAATGCAGAGACTAAGAGCCTGCAGAGTGTGGGTCCTTGGACAAGACTCCTATTTTAAAATCCACACACCCAGGGCTCAGGGACCATTGGGGAGGGGAGACAAAGATTGTAAGAGCCAGGGAGGAGGCGCATGACCACACAGACATAGTCCTACAGGCGCCTAGGACTCTTCTTATACAAAACTATATCAAGGGTGTTAGCATACAAGAGACCCATGCAAAGTTAGGTAGACAAAATCCCAGCACAGAACTGTGGAAATGAACAGCAGGTCCCAATCTTAGTCTAAGAATTATTGGCAGCTGATTACTCCTGGGTGATAAAGAGCTGATCTCCTTAAAGGGATAGACTCTAGAAAGGCTGACTAGACCCCAGTGAACTTGCACTGAGGGATGTCAGGGAACACTAACTTTATATGATAGGCCTCAACACAAATGACAGAATGTATGAACTCCAGTGGGAGGGTGCTCTGGGAGGGTGCCAAAGGAGAAATAGTGTCACCAATGGACTACCTATGTAAACCCTCTGGTTCCTGTTATTCTTGGTTGACTCCCACTGACTTTGTGCCAGAAGACATCTCTGATTGATTTAACTAATGGGTTAAAGACTGTTCTCCAGAGAATGTCTCTGCTCTCTTCCCTTATCCCCCAGCTCTGGAACAAAATTTCCTGTCTTTATCTCGTTTGTTCTTCTGAAGAAAAGTGGCTATTTGCTATTTTCCATTTTTTCTTCGAGAAAAAGATGCTCTTTGTGTCCTGATAGTAACTACAGAATTAATTATTCTTTGGGAAAAGAACTAATAAGCTGAATCTCAAAACTTTTTAATCAATAACTTTTCTTTAAATTTATAGAACTTAGACTATCCAGTGACATAGGATACCAGCAATCTGTGCATCAGAAAAGCAAACGCCAAATTTGTAGCTATCCTGGTACCTGCTTACCTGACATGCACCCACACATAAACCTGGTGCTTGCACATTCTTGTTTCACAAGAGGAAGATGGTATTTGTTGGAGATAGCCTTCATCTTCTTTGCTTTACTATATTCCCCCAATAAATATTCTTTCCTTTCCTAACAACTTGTCCTTGAGTCACTGGTGTTTTGAGTAGCAAGCAGGGCACATTGGCTCAGGATTACACATTAGAACTCTTCAGTTAAAAGATCATCAATTCAGTATCAGTGAAATGTAAGTTATCCATTTCCAGGAGTGACCCCAATTAAGCACCATAGCATCACTGTTGTAATTGAAAAATTAAAATTTACTTTTCTTCTGCTTTGATTTTTTTTGCCACATAGCCTTGGCTCTGCTTCTACTTCCTGAGTGTTGGGATTACAGGTATGCACCACCATGCCTGGCTCTGAAATAGAAATTTTTAAATAAAACTTTTAAGGAGAATGTTACACTTAGAAGTAAACTGTCAATGCCTAGCTGTAGAATATTTTCAATTTCTATAAAATCTTTTTCCTTCAAAATACAGCAATGAAAACAAATATTTTCACTTTAATTCGGTGACCTACTACATTTCTGAGTTCGAATAATCTAGTTAATATTTGGTGTTTTATGTACTACACAGATATTGTGATGGGAAGTGGAGCACATAGCCCCTGCACTGAGCTGTTTTACCATAGTCCTGGCCTTGGAAGTATAAAGAAGTTGATTTTAGCTTTACTTTGACAACATTCAAAACAAATGCACCATTTGCAGTTATTTATCAAATATAGGATTGTGATAAAATATAGATGAATCTTAAGCTGAAAGATTGTTCCTAGTGTAGTTTTCTAAGTTTTCATAGACCCCAAATTAACGTTTCTTGAAAGTAATGTTTTTGCCTATAAGATCTGCCTTAACAGGGGCTGGGGAGATGGCTCAGTCAGTAAAGTGCTTGCTATCCAAAGTGATGATCTGAGTTCAGATCTCCAGCAACCAGGTAAAAAGCTGGTTGTGTGGTAGAAGGTGCCTGAAGTCTTAGCAGTGGGGAGATGGAGACAGGAAGACCCCTGGCATTCACCTGCCAGTCCAGTGTAGCCAAATCAGTGAGTTCCAATGTGAGCAAGAAACCCAAAGGATTAAGGTAGGAACTGACAAAGGCAGACATCTAACATTGATCTCTCCCCTCCGTGTGTGTGTGTGTGTGTATGTGTGTGCGCACACACACACACACACACACACACACACACACACATACATACCTTTGCCTTAAAGATAATTCTGTGCCTTGTAGTCTATGGGCTTTCCTAAGTGCTAGTAAACACCGTGCATTTGGGAATCCTGAAACCTTCATGGCTCTAGTTCATTCTACTGTTGGTGAATCATGAATTCTTTCACATTTCCAAAGTATATACACTTGTGCAGTTTTGGAAGCAATGGTCTCTAGGTGCTACATCATGTTTTCTATTTTCTTGTCTAGTCTCAAAATATTTCTCTGATGTTAAGAAAAACAAACATTATGATTGTAAGTTTACAGGTAAGAAAGTGCACACAAAGGTAAAGGACAATTTCTTGTGTCCTGCAGTAACACAAGGAAGTTAGAACTGGGTAACTCTCAAATTTGGTTTTCTAATAGAACATCCTCTTTTTACATGTAGTATAGTCATTAAAATAAATGAAACTCATAAACTGAGCCCAAAGATACAAAAAGGCCCGGCAACCAGGGACCATTTCATGTTTAATTCCTGGTGCAAGCTTTTATGTTTCCAGCAAATGAACTCATTATTGGAAATTACATACAACCTATCACATAATTTATGAGAATGGACATTATTTCACAACCTCAGCTTGTAACAAAGAAAGCAGATTACACATTTGACAGGTTCTTTCCTTCAAGTTGGGAGAGGTTCACAGCTTTATTCCCTGAGTAGCTTGACTTTGTGTCTGCTAATCCATTACCTCAGATGAGGCTTCTTCTTAAAGAGTCAGCTAGACGCTGACCAGAGCAGGGCCTCCTGCTTCATTTCTAACATAAATCACTTGCTCCGACTTTCTTAAATCTGGTAACCACTGGAATTTATGGGAGAAATCTGTAGTTGTCTACTGGAAGAGAAAGCACCTTAGTATACAAGGGTGAGCGGGTTTCCGGCTAGCTGGACTCTTTGGAGTCTCATCTAATAAAAGGATAAATTTACAAAAAAAACCACAGAGTTTCAAATTTTGTTTGAACATAGAACCTCTTTTTAGTAATGTTCATGAGGAAATTAGAAATCTGAATTTGAATTTTTGCTTCTTTTCATTATTAGATTCTGTAACCTTTTTTGCCAGATTTTAATACCCCTGTGATAGCATTTCCATATTTATTAGAATACAGAAATTCAATCAAATACTGCATTTAAAGTGCATGGAGAAGGGCCCTGTTAAAGATGGTTTCTCTTTAATCAGGGGACATGATGCTGGCATAATTAGCTAAAGATGAACTGAAAAGAGAAAAATAGAACAATATTTAAGTGCTCCAGTGACTTATTTTTCCAATTAATTAAAAAAAGATGTCCCCAGGTAAATGAAAACTTCATCGTTTCTTATAAATGAAAAATTTCTACTTGGCTGGAATACAGACAGGGGACATTTGTGTGGGAAAGAGATGTGATTAATAGTCATCAATGACCCGAATCACCTGAAAACATTTTATCTGTATTTCGAGGGGAAGGAGGTATCACTACAGGGTTTACACATATCAGAAAGGTCACCCAGTTTCCTGTGCAGAGAACAGATTGTGGAAGAATAAGACTGAAGCAGAGAAATGATGGGGAGGGGGGTTGCTGTAGTTCTTCTGATGAGGAAAGTCGCTGTCCAAAGGAGAATGATCACAAAGTGATGGAGATTTCTGAAACAGCCATGTTTGGAGTATAATTAATTCCAGTAAAATAAAATTTTTTGTATTTATTCATTGGAACAAGGGTTGAACTTACTACATTTTCTTTTTGAACACTGTGCTCTTAATAGTTTTTCTGTCTTAGCAGCAACCCTAAGTGGCAAAGCAGCCTATGGGGCGATAAGGTACATGTTTATTCCTGTCAGCGGTGAATATAATGTTTATAAGGAAACATGGAAACCTCCATCCTGAAGAGTGAGTGACTAGTGGTGATGTATTAATCCATGCATCACCCTAGAATGCAGTCACTCTAGAAAGGCAGACAGGAGAGGTGTTTCCATCAAGCAGGTCATTGCTTATCTCTCCAGAGGGCGTTGTTCTGAAGAGGACTTCGCAATAACAACACAACAGTGTTGATTAGGTTCAACTGGGAAACAGTAACCTTGGTGGGAGCTCCCAGAATAACCAAATGATTGGCAATTGCAAGTCCATGGGGCTGGTATTGGCAGTCTTTTATAGTTTAACAAAGCTTCAGTAGACAACATGTATCCACACTCACAAATACATAAAGTGAAGCGTCAATGAATCGGGAGATGCAGGCCATGGGTAGTGATGTGGCACTATACGATTATACAGGGGCGGATGAGAGCTCTGCATTGCAGTATTCTGCTAGGTCCTGTGTATCAAAAAGTAGACAGACATTTCTTATCAATGACTTCATCTCTTTCAGGTTGTGGCAAACGAGCTGTCCCATTTATTGCCAACAGAATAGTGTTTGGAAACCTTGCAGCCAAGGGTGCCTGGCCTTGGCAAGTTTCCCTTCAGCGCAGCAACATCCATCTCTGTGGGGCCACCTTGATTGGTAGCACATGGGTCGTCACTGCAGCACACTGTTTTAGAACGTAAGTTATTGGCCTTAAGTCAGTCCCCATTTCTGCTGAAAACCCCTGTGCATTCCTATATTCTGGTTAGCAATAAATGTCTCAAATATTACTGAAATAAAGTAAGAAAATCTTTAGGGTCCTTTTCTGAAATAATGTTCTACTTGCATATAAAGTTTTGTGGAAATAAAGTTAGTACAAAACATTATCCCAGAATTCATTAACCAAGTCTTCAGTTTTCAATGAAGAAACTACAAGCTATAATAAAGCAGAAGTCATTAGAACACACTGCGTTTACTAGGCAAACTAGTCTTTTGTCAAACAATGTTCTCCACTTAACATTAGTGTCAGGTTCTGCAAAACACCAGTCCTTGTCATGAAAACAAAATCTTCAATGAAGGGAGGAAGTGCAGAATGCTGATGATGGAGAACTGCTGCAGTTAAACATATAACACTGGCACAGGTCTCCAAAGTTCTCTTGTGATTTGCATTACATCTTTAAAAAATCAGGGCCAGAATGTATAGAGTGTTGGACTCTTTGCTGTTCAGTTCTTACCTGGGATGATAATTTCTGTGCTGGGTGACATACTTCAAAAGAACTTGAAAAAATGACTCTGAGGCAAAGAAAAGGGATAGAATAACCATTTGCCTTGTCAGTCCAAGTGTGGTTCACAGAACAGCAGGCACACATCACTAAGGAATCTGTTTGAAATGAAGAAAGCTAAATTTATCCCAGAACATTAGACTCAGGAACTGTATTTTGATAAGAGTCCCTAATCACTTGTGTGCACACTGAAATTTGAGGAACATCGTCCTAATCATCCTAGGTGATAAAATTCTATTCTGACAAACCTCAAATACAGAAAATAGAGTTGTATTAATAAACCTGAAGTACTGTCATGTTTTTAGAAGAGAATTAGGGAATCAAGAAAGAACTTGCCAGCCGACAAAGCTGTCAAAGATGAAAGGGATTCCAAGATGAAGAAAGGGATTCTGAGCAGAGCATGTCTCCAGTTGCAGAAGAGCTCAAGTACAGACAATAACTAGTTGACAGTGTTTTGATATCAACAGCTAGACAGTTATTAAGCTCCATGGTGCTACAGGTCTTTGGTTAAGTGCTTAAGATTTACTTTATATTATTCTTACAATCTTCTACATAAGCCTTGCTGTTAGATCTTTATACATTGAGAGGTTTAAGACAAGTTAGGAAACTTGCCCACAGTTCAGTTAGGAGATGGTGGAGTTAAGAGGCAATGTGTATCTCCTAGTGCCAGAACACATCTTTCAGGTACTGGATTGGCGAGAGGACCAACCTGCACTTTCTGACCTTTCCTATCCTGAGATTATTTCATATTATTTCAATCTACTTTTGAGTTGACACTTAAGAGAATTCATTACACAATTGCTTATTCTTAAAATAATAACAAAATTCCACTGTTCTTTTTTAAGGGATAGCTTCTAAATCAAGTGTCACTACTTTGATTCTTTGCAATTAACTTTGGAATCTAAACTCCTGTCTATGTTTATCATCATTAATTTTTATTTATGGATTTAGACGCAGAAAGCTTATTTTTAATATTGTCCTAGGAATCTTTCATGTCATGTATTTTTTCAAAAGGTTTTCCATCTGCAACTGGAAAAAAAATGCATGATGTATTATATAGTATCAGACCTTTGCTGAAAATTCCAGGATGGGCATTCTCTCTTAAGTAAATCTGAGTCAAAGTCTGACTTTTACATTTCTAAGCCCCCGAAACTTGATGCTTATTGAATTCATCATGTAAAGTTGAGGGAATCTTTGCACAGTAAAACTTACAAAGTACTGATTTATAAAAGAAAAGTCAATATAAGTATGTTATATAAACAATTATGTTCAAAAACTAGTTTTTATTCAACTCATCTCATCAGAGTATTTCTTATATCAAAATGTTTGGAAACAAAATTTTAAATTACAATAATCCCAACACAGTTAACAGTTGCAAAATTGGATTTACTCTTATTGATATTGTAATATTCTCTTTCTAGGACTAAGTTAACTATTATAAAATAATTGATTTAGAAATGATATCTATATAGATAATATCTTTTTCTGTTTATCTTTCATGAATTAGTTAATTAGTTAAAGAGCATCAATTTTGCTTAATAGGTACATTTTTGTAGAAGACACTATCCTATGGAGACTGAGGCAGGCATGTGATAAAAGGCAAACTAATTCATCCAGGCTTTATTTTCCTTCTTATAAAACAAAGGCCTTGCTTGGTGATCTTTCATAATTACCAAATGATCTTCGTAATTCCTGCATGTACTATGATCTACCACTTTCTCAAGCTTTCAAGCTCAAGGTCAGCCACACTTGCTGGTCTCTCAGAGGACTACTGTCTTTTGACAGGTTTCATCACATCAGCCCTTGACCAACAATCTAGTCTCCAGAAAGGACTGGAATGAATTTTAGAAAATGTAAATGAGACTGCATAACTCCCAGTTAAAAACATCCAGTAGATTCCAACATCACTAAAATAAAGCCTAAGCACTTTATTACATCCCATAAAACACTTTGTCCCTGCCTACCTCTCCAGCATCATCCTTCACCACTCTTCCCTGGTATCCTAAATTGAATCCCACCTGACACAAAGCCTTCAGATATTTACCTAGAAACACAACTTCCTGATTGTCTCATAGCTGACCATTAACCATGGTTGCAGCCTAAATGTGTTGGTTTAAAAAAAGAAAGAAAGAAAGAAAGAAAATCTTTCCCAGCATTGGCATAAGGAAGTGGAACTTTTGGCAACTGGTGACTGCTGGAAGGAGGAAAAACAGTGTCTTACAGGGTTGGGACTCTTGGTAGACCCAATGAATGGATCCGCACTGATGGACATTAGGGGACACAAATCATATTCTACAGGCTATCATGTTATTTCATATAAGGGAACAATGGGGGAGGTAGGGAGAGGGGGGTGGATCTAAATGCCATCAAACTACATTATATGAAAATGAAAACCACAAAAAATTCAATAAGAAGTACAAAAAACCTGATTGCTGCTAGATGAGGAAGAGCTGATCTTCCTAAAACAGAGAACTCTAAATAGGCTGACTAGACTCAGCAGATGGACTAGCACTGGGGAATGGCTGGGGGTGCTGATAACACAGTGACAGTAACAGGGATGACAGAGTATATGGGCTCCAGTGGGGACAGGGGAGGTTATGGGAGGTAACATTCAGGATGCGGGTATAAAGATGAATAAGATTGTTTGGGATGTTCTATATGAAATACACAAAAAAATCAATAAATAAAAAAATGAGTTATAAAAAAAGCCTTCCATAACCCTACCCATACTCTATGCATTATCCTATTTTATTTTGTCAATAATCTTTTATCACTGAGATTGTTTATTAACATTTAAAACATTTAAATTTATTTTGATATTTTCCTTCCCTCAAATATAATACTTCTATGAGCTAAAAATTTAAGTTTTGTTCACATCTTTGTCCCCTGCACTTCAATAACATTAAGAATACAGCAAATAAGTATTTGCTATGGGAATAAATTAATAACATTGTATGTGCCTTACAGTTCTAAAGTTCAGTAATTTAATATTAAATTTCAGCTCTAATATGCTGTATATATACCTATTACTATACTTAAAAATAGACAAATGTAAATAGCCAAAGGAAGCTATAATTTCAACCATGTGTTTCCAGGGTGATATTTTCCCTTGTATTACTCTAAGTGCAACTAATAGAGTTAATGTATTCTGTGAAATTCACATAGCTATTGATTTCTAACTTTTCCAGTAATTCAAACCCACGTCAATGGACCCTTACTTTTGGAACAACAATAAACCCTCCCTTAATGAAAAGAAATGTCAGAAGAATTATCATCCATGAGCGGTATCGCCCCCCAGCAAGAGATCATGACATTGCTGTTGTGCAGTTCTCTCCCAAAGTCACCTTTTCAGATGACATTCGCTGGATTTGTTTGCCAGAAGCCTCTGCATCCTTCCGACCAAATTCAACAGTCTACATTACAGGATTTGGAGCACTTTACTATGGAGGTTGGTACCTCAAAACAACTAACATTAAGCCCTGTTTAGCAAAGTGATTAGATCTCCTGTCAGTCATTTCCACAAAGCTTGTTTAGGTTCGTTAGAACTCTTGTTTTGCAAGTGACAGAAATTCAACTCAAATCAGCCAAAACAGAAACAGACCAAATTTGGCCCTTGTAAGTTAAAAGTCAGTAAGTGAAAAAATCTGGTTTAGAGCTGGGTAGAATCAAGGTTATAAAACACCGCTGAACACTGAATCTCCAAATCTAGGCATTTCCTAGTCCTGATTTCTCCAGGTTAACTTCATGGCGGGCGGGGGGGGGGGGGGGGGGGGGGGCCAGACTATAGCACCACACGGTGGCCAAGGTGACCCACAGCAAGTCCAGGGATACTGAGATTGACTGATCAATCTTAATACTCATGACTATGCAGCAAATTTTGCTTTAATACTGCAGAAATTAATTTAAAGGTGATTATGAACAAAATACATTATGAATAGCAGTAAGGTTTGACATTTGCAGAACAATCTTCCCTAAATCAGCAGGCTACCCATTAACTATGAGAACCCATGACTCACTTTATAAGAAAGGCCGTTTCCAGATCTGTAAACACGAGTAAATATGAAAGAATGGAGACCATACAAAGTATGCTCTGTGACCCTATAGACTCAGACAAGAAACTGGTAACGAGATAACAGGAAATCAAATGCTTAGAAATTAAAGAAACAGTCATCAATAAAAGAGTCTCAGACAAAATCTTAAAAGTACCTAGAACTGAATTAAAACTGAGTGCTGTAAGCAGAATTCAGCTATGCTTACATAAAAAAGAAGAAAAGTCTCAAATCTATAAACTGAGCTGCTATTCTAAGAAATTAATAACGATGAGAAAATAAGTATAAAACAAGCAGAAGGAAAGAGATAATAGAGAGGAGAAATGCATTAAACTGAAAATGGGAAAACAGAGGAAAAATTAATAAATAAAAACTAAATTCTTAAAAATGTAAAATAAATACATTTTTTGAGACACAGTCTCACTATGTAGCCCCAGCTGGCCTAGAACTTACTATGTAGACCACCTTAGGCTGGCCTCAATCTCAGAGGTTCTCTGCCTCCTGAGTGCTGGGATTAAAGGCTGTACCACCACATCTGGCTTTAAAAGAAATACATTTTAAAGAAATGTCATTAAGTGTCCATCAAATAACTGAAAAACAGCTCAGGAATATTCAGAATTCTGGAGCATGCTTTTCATTATTTTATTACATTTTACCAACTAATTTTCTACAAAAGTCATGAATTTACACTATCACTAAAAAGTATCAATGGTCACATTCACTTCACTGTTCCCAGAACTGGATACAATTTTTAAAAATTTTTTTATTTATTTTTATTTAATGTGTGTGGGTGTATTGCTTTCATGTAGGTAGGTGTACCCATGTCATGCAATGCCTGAGGAGATCAGAAGAGGGCGTCAGATCCCCTGGGGTGCTGGGAATCAAACCTAGGTCCTCTGCCAGTGCTCTTAACCACTAAGCCATCTCTCCAGCCCCCTGGATATTCAAAGGGAAGAATAATTTGAAAACTTTTTAAAAATCTGCATCTATTACACTTTGTTTTCTAAGCACATTTAAAATTTTATTTACAAATGTATTTCCAGAAATGAATCTTGAAATGGTTTTCTAGATTCTTAAATGTTGTCCATATCCATTTTCCATTATCATGTAACAAATTACAGGCAACTTATTAACTCAAAACAGCCCAGATTTATTGCCTCACTGTTTTTTCCTGGGTGAGAAGTTCAGACATGGTTTAGCTGGATCCTTTTCTCTGAATTACAAACTGAAGTCTGGGGTGGAGTCTCATCTGTGGCTCTGGATTCTCTTCTCAGCTGGCTGCTTGTTGACAAAATTCGGTTTCTTGCAGCTGTAGAGTTGATGAGGCAGCTTGCTTTCTCAACACCATTAAGAAAACGTGTCCAAATCAGAGAAGTTCTAAACATTACTTGATTTAATCAGTCCTACTTTGGATAATCTCCTTTTTGATTAACTCAAAGTCAATCTGATTAAATTTTTTATTACATGTGCAAAATTCCCTCCACTTTGCCATATAACATAAAACTAATTGTGAAAATGATGTCCATTACATTGAACGAGTCCCGTCCATACTTGGAGGAAGAGAAATAATACCACAAGAATCTTGGGCTAATCCTAGAGTTCTGCCAGCCAAAGTACCATGGTTTACCATTCAGTGATTGATATAAGAATTTCAGAATGCAGGGCTGGAGAGATGGTTCAGAGGTTAAGAACATTGGCTGCTCTTGCAAAGGACCCAGGTTCAATTCCCAGCACCCACATGACACCTAACAACCCTCTGTTCCAGGAGATCTGATGCCCTCTTCTGCCCTCCATTGGCATTGCAAAACATGAGTGCACTTACATACACACAGGCAATACACTCATACACATAAAATAAAAATAATAAATAAAAATATATTTTAAAAAAGAATTTCAGAATGCTTGAACTCTTTTTGGTTTTCTTCTGCATCTACCTGTTATAAGGCTCCAATTTATAATCTGAAGCCCCAAATTCATATGAGATGAAATCATTGTCATTTAATGTCATTACATATGTGAAAGCTCTTTATAATAATGTGAAGGACTGAATAAATGCACATAAATTAAGAGGTATTTTTTCAAACCAAGAAACAATACTAACTATGCATGCAAAGTTTCTGGGAACAACCTGGAATTCATAAATACAGAAGTCATAAAAAGTAGAACGCCTTCTTTAAAAATAAAAATTCATTATTTTAAAAATAAAGGTACAAAGATTTTTCAGAAAAGAAACCAAATGATCTTGTAGAAATATTTACTAAATTTGATAAGACAGAGCAGGAGAGATTGCTCGATGGTTAAGAGCACTGGCTGCTCTTGCAGAGGACTTGGGTTTGGTTCCCAGCACCTATATGGCAACTAAAAACCATCCAAAACTCCATCCAATTCCAGGGAATCTGAAACCATATTTTGACCTCTGTAAGCACTGCATACACGGGTGTACTTACATAGATGGCAGCCCAAACACTCAGACACTTAAAAACAAAAATAACTAAATCCCCCAAAAAGCCTTTAATAAGATATGCCAAGCATCATTAAATGTGTCAGGTTTAATTCAATTGTTTTCTCTAGTAGTACTGCTATACCACATAGTTCTGTATTGACAATTATAGAATGAAGAGGATTAGAAAAGAACCTGCCTACTCATTTCACTCTAGCTAAGGATGCTTCTTGTGAAATTTGAAACTGCTTTTTTTTCCTTAAGGAGAATCTCAAAATGAGCTCCGAGAAGCCAGGGTGCAGATCATAAGCAACAGCATCTGCAAGCAACAATATGTGTATGGGAATGAAATAAAACGTGGGATGTTCTGTGCTGGCTATCTGGAAGGAACTTACGATGCTTGCAGGGTAGGTTGCTGAGGAAAATAACCCAAAGGACACCAACTCAAAACCTTTTTACCAATCCCAGGAAATTCTCTCTCTCTCTCTCTCTCTCTCTCTCTCTCTCTCTCTCTCTCTCCTCACTGTGTATAATTAGGGTTGCTAGTATGAGCTTTGATGGGGATATTTGCTGGAACAATAGGCAACTTGTCAGTGCCTACACCACTGAAGAAACTTGAATTCCAAGGCTTGAACTCACGGAGATCCCAGCACATGGGAGGCAGAAGCAGACGGATCTCTGGGAGTTCAAGGTCAACCTGGCCTACGTAGTTCTGGGTCAGCTGGGGCTACAGAGAGACCTTGTCTCAAAAAGACCTAATAAGTAGAAAGCAATTGAGGAAGACACCTCTCATGACCTCTAACCTCTACATGCACCTGCATGTGTGCACGCACACACATGCCACATAAATACAGAAAAACATACCATTCAATCATCATACAAATAATTTCACAGATAAAAGGCAACAAATGTTGCATATTGTAACATTCTTTTTTAAGTATTTTTTATTATTTTTATTTTATGTGTATGTGTGTATTGCCTGCATGTAGGTAAGTACAGCCATGTCGTGCAATGCCCTTGGAGGTCAGAAGAGGCTGTCAGATCCCCTGGGACTGGAGTTACACACATGTGGGTGCTAGGATTCGAACTCAAGTCTTCTGCAAGAACAACCAGTGTTCTTAACTGCTTAGCCATCTCTCCAGCCCCCTGTAACATTCTTTGTTAACATTCTTTGATGTTACATTTGTGTGTGTGGTGTGGTGTGCGTGTATGCATGTGTGTTTGAATACACCTGTGTAGAGGCCTGAAGTTAATGTTGGGTGTCTTTTTTGATCTTTCTGCACTTTAATTATTGAGGCTGATGCTCTGCATTTCTTTTTCTCTTTCTCTTTCTCTTTTTTGAGACAGCTCCTCACTGTGTAACCCTGGTTGGCCTGGAACTCACTATGTAGACCAGGTTGACCTTGCACTCACAGAGATCTGCTCACCTCTACCTTCCTGAGTTCTGGCATTAAAGACCTGTGCCACCTCCTTCAGCCCTGTCTATGCTCTTTATAGTAGTAAAAAAAAAGTACAGATATATCATCATTTCCAAAATGTAGAGTTCAAAGCTCATACCTACTTTTATTATGAAGCAACAAGAAATATACAAAAAAATTCTTTGATATGAAGCAAACTAATCAACCAAATTAAAATGTCTTAATAACCAGAGACTCACCAGATATTTGTCTTTTTATCCCATGGACTTACAGTCTATAGAGGAAACAACCTTGTAAAATGAACTGTGATGATGGGCTTAGATATGGAATGGAGAGAAAGTAGCTTTCCTTGAAGGGAACGTTTTTTGAGTAAGTACCAGAAAAAATATTTCAGTAAGTCCTGAAGACTTCCACAATTACAGACTAAGAAAATAATCATATAAGAGAAGTAAACATTATAAAGATGTATAATTAGAATTCCCAATCAAGAGAACCCCAAACAATCTATTGTTTCTAAGCACAAGGAACATGACAGGTGAGAGATCTAATTAATGGTGTAAAGTCTGCTTAGGCCAGACTGCCAATATCCTACAGTTTTTCACAGTACCTCCCCTGGTCCTCTAAAACCTAGCTGGCATGCATATTTTCTTTCCATATGCAATCAGGGTTTCAGAAGCAAAGGAATAACAAAAGAAAGTTCTAGCCCCAGAAAAATGGAGACATGGGGGAAGTGGTTCAAGTACTTCAGTACAGTGATTGTAGGTGTGACACAGGATGAGGACTTCGAAGTATCTGATACAGCAAGCGCCGAAGCAACATCAGCTGACCTCCTCATACACAACAAATATTTATGTAGACCCCAACAAATCTCTTCCTTTATATAGAAGAGAGAGAGAGAGAGAAAGAGAGAGAGAGAGGGAGAGAGAGAGAGAGAGA